ACTACAATTTCTGTAACTTCTAATGTGTATTCCGTATCATAATTGCAGGTAATTTCCGCACTGGAAATAACTACATGTACTGAAGTGCCACCCCGAAAAAAATGTTCGTCTCGGTACCGTAAGCAAAGTTTACATGCCTGTATTTATACATTGTCGCGGAACACCACGCATCCAAACAACATAACAAAGCACAGGGAAATAGTCAACATTACAAATATCCAAAGGTCAAAGGGATAAAGGGAGTACTGTGCGGGCCATGACATTTTAGGATACTATTTGCAATGTTGACGCGCAGATAACTGTTGAGAGAGACCTCTCCTGCCGAGGGGGTAAGTCGTGCTTAATTAAACTAATTTGGGACTTCAAAAAGCTTTCATCGACTGATCATATTGATAAAGTGACGTAGTTAATTGAACGAACTGTGGGACAATTGCAGTAGAATGTTCTTCTATTATACAGGAATTTTTCATAAAGGAAACACTATGCCTAATTGCCAGCATAAAAGCAGAGAAATAACTACGTATGATAATATCTCACGCAGCTATCAAAGTATGCATCAAATAATCCACATTAATTACAACTCATTACTAAACCGCCCTCTTAAACTTGAAAAGGACATTGAATGGGGGAATTTTTTTGAGATGCAAATCTGACAGTAACCAACTGTGTCAAATCCGTTGATTACTTTCATTATATAAATTCGCCAGCAAAAGTACGATACAGAAGTACGATACATTTAGAGTCACAGGAGTTGTCAAATTAAGCTTTTAAGCAACAAGAAACACTTTCTTGTCTAACAAACTCAAAAATAATCTTTCGATCACTGATATATTTCTAATGAAAACGTTTCCATCATCAGCGTTTGGTTTCCTGCCCTCAAGATTCTTGCCATGTCCACCTTTAGGCCAGTAAGAATTAACGTAAGTGCCCGACCCAGACATTTTCGCTAATAACGGAATGTCCACTCAGAACCCTTCACGTGGTTGTCATATAGATTTCTGTTCATAAATCTTGATTTAGGTATCTGCTGGAAAACTCTGATGAAATTCTACGTGCCTACTATGTTCCGATTTGCCGTTTGGGGGGGTCATTAACACGTATTATGAGGTTGTTACCACCAGTAAGTGAATAAATTCAGAGTTTTTTCCTTCAACGTGATTTGGCAACAATGCATGAGGAGAGTCGAGGGAACATTGACGTGCGTGAGAGGGGACCTCACTGGTATGCTGTGCGTGTGTCAAGGACATAAAAATATCTGGGATTTAACCCTCAAAGAACCAAGTTATTTTGGTCCATCTCAAAGCCGGCTGGGGCGGATTAGGCTCAATTCTGGAAAACTCGGCATGCATATGAAACACTCCTGATCATTACAAATGTCAAGTTTGAAATCAATCTAACATACACGAAAGGCCATTTGAAGTTCCGAGGGCCACATACGTTCTAGCCCGCCTGCATTGCATCGCAGTGGAAAATATGCGTTTTGGGTTGACCTACGGTCTTGGTAAAATGGGTGCTGTGTAAGAATCGCTGGTGCTGTTTTTCGCAGAAATGATGGCAAAATGACCACAAAGAGTCACTCTGAAAACTCGTGTACTGCGGAGATCTCGCATAATATAATCATCACAGAATTGTAAACTATGCTTTTCGTCACGAAAAGGCATTTTTACGTAAACTCCTGCCTGTTTTGGGAATATTCCAGCTGTACGTTGATCATACACCGCAAGAATGTTCGGTTTTGGTATTGTTTATGATGGGTCAAGGGTGCAAGTGTGGACATGGCTACACCAGTGAATACTTAGATGAATAAAATGCATTCAGCTCAGTCATGAAAGTTGTGAGCCCTTGCAATGGTGATTGTTGGGACATGAGAAAGTCAAAACTGATATTTAAGTGTTACTAATGCAAAAGTCGACCCTCTTGTCAGTTTCCATTTTGAGGAGTCAGTCCAAGGCAATCTCCTTTTAATTGCATGGATAACAATTCTGAAGGACTATCATTGCACTCTTGGAAAATGTTTTTTGAACCACCCAAGTATTGAAGGGCCTACAGGAATCTTTGCCGCGTCCAGTTAAGCAGTTTGTAAAAAATTGCCTCAAGTCACTGCAAGGCCTTCGAATGCATGTAGCAGCATGAAAGTGTATTTTATTTGTCAACTGCCAACCTCCATCCTTTACTTTCTGTATATCCTTGCACATGCGGTGTCGTTAAATATTGTGTCAAGTCAACATTTGTAGAATATGAAAGGTTTTGCGTTTGTGTCGGAAAAAACATGCCAAAACATATGTTTCGTACACTAAGGGTAGCTGTTTTGTTTTTTAATATACATATTTCCCCGAGGTTTATTTTGGTCGACTTTTTGGAGATACGTTACTCCCATCTAAACACATTCCCGCCGAAATTTGGTTATCAAAAATGTCTGGGTCTTCATCAACTCTTACTGGCATCTGCAGTGCCTCTCCATTTCTCCAAGCAAATTGCATAGGCCTACAACGGCACAACATGCTACGCCATCTTAGCATGGTTCTCTGGGGGTTTACATTGCAGTCATAGTATAGTTCGACAGTTCTTTCTGAACCATCGACAGTTTAGGATATTAACTCTAGCGTTAATTTTGATAATGTTAGCATTTTTGACGTGTGTGTACGATTCCAGTGCCCCCCCCCACTTTTTTACAGTACGGTCAGAATAGGTTTTGAAATCATTTGATCTGTTGATCATGAAACTTAATGCAGTTTGTCACTAACCCTCTTTTGTAACTAATCAAATTGAAAAGAGGATCGAAAGGGCAAAGTTCTGGTTTCTTCGGGAATTGAAATCAGTATTTCCCCCATATTTAAAACGTTCGGGCGGAAAGGGTCTTGCAAAATTTAGACTTAACGACAATGCCAGACTGTTGCAGTGGATGCTGTGTGAGTTGTTTTTCAAACAAAATGGCTGCACTTGATCTGAGCAAGCGGATTCAATGTGATTGTCATATAGTACGCCTTATGGAAAAGGGTAGTGTTAAGTTGAAGTCTTGACAAAAGGAAGCCACTCACCAAAATGCCGAAATTTGCTCAGTGTGACTGGAAAGCACGGATGTTCGAAAATATGTTGTGTATACCCGGAAATGTTTGGCGATTTGTTACATGAAATTTTTACGTCAATGAAATTCGGTCCTTGTTCCTTATCCGCCTAGGGTGCATTCCACCAAATCGTTGTACATGTATTTCTGCGCGCAAGCTGAATATTTTGTGATCCACGGTATTTTTGCAATAAGACAGACCATAATCAGGAGAGATCATAGAACTATTTCTATAAATTTCAAATTTGGGATTGATAGTTTCCGGTTCGGGGTATTTCGTTCACAAAAAGCCACAAATTGCGGGCCTATTTTGAATAGAGGCGGGCGGCTACATTCAGAAATGAGCGCTTAGTGTTACTGTTGTTTGGGGGGTATCTTCCTTGAACAGCGAGTAAAATTTTGTGGCTAATCCCATGCAATTTAAACAAAAAAGTGATCTTGAATTTCTAGTGAAAAACAGAGGCCAACCTCTTTACGAGAGTCAACAAGCGGCGCTATTTCGGTCCGATTTTGCACTGTTTTGGGCGCATATTTGGTGTAGTGAGTGCAACCCCTAGGTACTAGGCTTACGCCCTCACCGACAAAGTAGAGACAGGTAGGTGGAGAGTTTTGAACAGGTCTCCTGCTTGCGCTCTGCAAATATGCGAAGTCTTTGCGCTTCTCAAAGAAATCAGAATTCTGTTGCTTTTGGCACTCCATTGCGTTCTATCAAGTTCATCTTTGATGTTCAATCTGGTCTCTCGGAAAGTAGAAAAGGAGAAACTGTTTGTTTTAAAAATGTGAAAATCAGCTTTTTCCGCTGGTGGAAAAGCAGATTTTAAATCGAGTTTGTGTTGGGCAAAAATAAAGTTGGATTTTCATGCACGAGAAAAGTAGAAAATAATGCAGAAATACGCATTTCAGTGCTACTGTGACATCGCAAAAGCAAATGTCCACTTTTGCGCACGACTCGATCACAATAGACCCTTCCTCTAAATTTTTCTAATTTATGTGCGCATGCGCATAAATTGCATGTGGCGACAAAAGGCTTGAGCGGCGCCATCGCAAATGTACAGCGACACAAATTTCAACGTCATTTTCTCTTAGTCTGCTCAATTTTGCACTTTTGTCTTCGAAAAATCCACTGAAATTGTTCAACTATTACTTTCTGGTCTGAAAGGGATAGGCCTGTTAAATTTGACTAAATTTTTAAAAAGTCTTTGCCCCTCCCTCCCCGATCGCACGAGGTCAAAAGAAATTAACGCAAATACGTTTTTGTGGTGATCAAATCAAAGGAGTGTGACTGAAGAATTTTTCAGACTTTCCAAAGACTGAATTTAATGCATACCACATCGCTCAAAACGAGGGAAAGATATTTTTAAGATCACATAAAGATGTCATATTCCCGTTTATTTCAAATTAAAATCTTGTTCAACGTTTTGCTTGAGTGGAATGTAGAAAAATATAAATAATTGGTTCGTTTTTATGAAAACATTTGTCAAAAGTTCGTTTTTTGTAAGACTTGAAGAAAGATTGTTTTCATTGTTGGAACTGAATCTTTGGTACCAGATTTCTTTGTTAAAGTTAACTTTTACAAAGGGTATATTAAAAGTTCGTTGTATTTTTTTAAAAATGATCTTGAAAATGGTGCTACAACTACATGTATGTAGTCGCGTACGGCTACTCATAGAACGATTGGCAAAATGAACTTAGACAAACTATATGGAAAAAACGAATGTCGTAAGAGGTGTTTCCCTTTTTTAGAAAATAAATACTCGATGGCACCATTGGGCTTTCGTCGGCATAATATAAAGCCAATCTGAATTAATTACACATTATTTTGCGAAGCCGAACTCGACGAAATTACAATTTGCATAAAAAAAACTTGGTCCGGTACAGAATTAGCCACCGGTAGAGGGCGCCATCGCATCGTTAAACTTTTACATGCTCAATCTGAAGACACGGGCACGCCTTGTACGTGATGTACGTACGTCACTACGTAGTACGTGTTTTGCGCTTTACCTTACGATTTCCATTCACTGTTTCACTCTTTTCGGACTGGCTAACTGTCGACATTACAAGTGAGTATATTAATAATACAACTTTTGACAGACCTTACTAGGACTGTCCGTTTCACTCCAATTGGTAACTAGGGCCTACTTTTATAGATTTAACATGTTTAACATGTTTAACCACACAGTTAAGCCCGGTTTCCATAATTCATATCGATCATGTAAGAAAACAGAGATAGCAATGCAATTAACACAGAAATTGCAATGCAGACATATGGAAACATCTCAAATGGAAATATCACCGGTAACCCATACGTAACGCAAACCAGCCCTAGACAAATCTAGAAAGTAACCTTGCCTACTGTTGCTGAGTTGCTCAGTACAGTGCCTATACAAACATGCACGCTAGCATGAATGATTTGTGTATAGCAATGTTCCTCTCACTTAGCACCACTCATTTTGTCCATTTTCTCCTCGTAGGGCTTAACTAGCATATGCAGCCTCAATTGTCAATAAAATTGCTGACCATTAAAAAATAACATCTGACTGGAGTATCAGTTTCGCTTCAAGAGGCAACACTGCCACCTCAAAAGGGCATTTCTTTTTCATAATATTTGCAATTTTTATTCGCAATTTTGTTGAATTTTTGTTGGAATGATGTGGCGCGGTGTCTCTTCTGCGTCTGTCTGCTTCTTGACGTCTTGTGAACTGTCTGTGTCAAAAACGACCATGTGGAAATCAGGCGTTACATGTACATGTACTACGAATAGCTAGATTGTGTGGGCCCATGGACTGAGGATCCTTTTTTAAGTACATGTAGCTCCATGGTAGGCCTAACATCAGTGTTACGTCTTCGTTTTTACGAAGAGCAAACATTGTTGCCATCTGTGGCAGTTGAACCATGCCTAATCCTACTTTCACTGTTCCAGTGTAAGATTTATACAAACCTAGCCTACATGTACATGTACACTCATAAACTCCCATTAGGCCCAACACATTTTGGCCGTGTTGATGATGCCAACTTACCCTACCATTAACAGCCAAGTAAGATTTTTGATGGGGAGGTTTAGTCACCTTATATCCTCATTAAAATGGTAAAATTCTTGAACATTTTGCCCATCCATACAACAAATTATTAGCAGCATGTACTCTCAGTAACTGTCAGCTGTGTGATAGCTTGACCAATCGCAACACTGCTCATATATATTTCCTACATGTTTTCCTGTCACCCACAGATGAAAGCCGCACAGTGATTGGCCCATTTTGCTGCCATGCCTATGACCAATCATGGGTCGGCTTTCTTTTGATGGGGGGGTTAGGAAAACAAAAATGGGAGCAGGGTTACCTTTTAACTTCAGTTACAAAGTGTGGCAAGTGTAACCACGGAGGAATAAATGCACAGACACAAACGTTACGAATTTCGATGTCCAAGTCAGACTGAGTGACGTTTCTTCACAGGATTTTGTGTCTCCATTGAAAACAAGTACATGTATGTTTGGACAGACCCACTTGTAAGACTTTGTGCGAGCATGGAGGAAGGAAAACAGATGTTGCAAGATGGAACCTAACTACATGTATTAACGGCACCTGGGTTTGTGGCATGTACACTCATATTGTGCCATGTACAAGCATATACCTGGCAATACGGCCATTTCACAATAGAGCGCCACCAAGAGTTTGCAACGCGTTGGCCAATCACAATGCGCGAAATTTGTCGACCCAATGCGCGTTTGGAAAGGGTCGACAAACTTTGGGGGTTGTGATTGGCCAACGCGCTGCAAACTCTTGGTGGCGCACTATTGTGAATCGCCTGTATTGCAGATCTGCTGACTGTGTACAGTTGACTTCAGGAGATACAATAGTACTAGTTCTTGTATATCTGTTTTTGTGTTGAAGAGATTGACTGGTTTGTACATCGCTGATGTAAATGTACCCCGTTCTTTACCAGAGACCTCAAAATAGAGTTGCCTCATCAATTATCAGGAGGATGCCTGTACACCACGGACACCATCATCATGGTGCTGCCCATCACCATGGCGTTCACCACCATGGCATTGGTCATCACCATCACCACCACAACATCCACCATCATGCTCCCGTGTCAGCCACAGGCCAAGTGGTGGGTGGCCCAGCCATAACAACACGAGTCGGCAATCCCATGGGGCTGCCCTTTTGCCTAGGCATGTTTGGGTTTTTCTTTCTCTTCAGTGGTATCATGATGATGTCGTTTGGCGTTAGCGCCTTCTCTGGTGTGGGCATCGTTGGGTGCCTCTTTTTGATTGGGGGAGTGGCTTTGATGATTGCCTTTGTCGTTCTCTGCCGGAAGATCCGCATGCAGCAACAGCAGGCTATCGTCAACCAGCAGGCAGCTGGGGTGACCACGATGGAGTACAGCCAGCCGGGCACCCAGCCCTTAGTACAGCCCCAGCAGCCAGGAGCACCCCCCATCATTCACCCACAGGGTCCCGGGGCAACTATCGTGTATGGACCAGGGGGACAGGTGGCCTACCAACCCCAGGCCCAGCCAGGCTTCCAGCCAGAACCTCAGCAGTATCCAGCAACAATTCCCTATCCACAGCCGTAAGTTGCTCTGTGGAACATTCATAGGTTACCCACTCAATGCATGCCATTGGTGGCCAAGCCGCCACCACTTACTAAAGTCAAGTTAGTTACTGATGTTACTTTTTAGAAATAAATTAATTAGCAAATGTCTGTCCATACATTGAAGAGTTTTCATTTGAAAAAGGGAGGTTTTGGCTTTCTATTTGATGAAATTGGGATTTGAATTGTAGCTGTAAGTACAAACTTGATCTTGATAAGTATTGGTAATTGACTAGTTCCGACAGTGGATATTCGTTGCTGGCATCTCCATCTCAGAGGCTGCTTTTGTTATTTGAGTTAATTACAATGAATACACCAAAGTTGTACTTGAGCCTATCCCAGTGATACTAAATTACTCCCCTCTGAGGATAGGAGCATCAAGTAAGTCTACATGCTTGGACAGAAGTCTGAGAAGAGCCTGTTTAAACCATGGATGCCATTACAATTTGGGACTCGCGGTGCTCTTGCCCCGACTGATGGCACCGGCGACCATCTTACCATGCCAAATACAAAGGCGATAATTGGCTGCGTGCCATTGTAACTATTTGTTGCCGTTAATGATTTATTTTCAAGTGGTAAGCAAGCTTTCGCATCACCCTTGTATTTTGGGCGGTAAGATGGTCACCAGTGGCCTCAGTGGCCTATATGGGCTGGTGAGGGACATTGCGAGTCCAAATTTTTTTCTATGACATCCACGATTTGAATGTGCTCTCGAACTGCGGAAGATGGCTACCACCAGCACCATAGACGTAATCACCACTGGCAGTCCACCTTCAGGGTGTACAATTTGCCTTGGAGTCATCGTAATAGAGCTACAAGAGAAATGCTTGAATTCTAGGCATTAGAGGAAAATTTGGCATTAACGTATCCCACCAATTTCTGTGTGGAGTTGCTTTCTGGTGCATACATGCTTTTCCATTAACTTCTCTTCATTTGCTTGCTATGTATACTTTTTTTTTTGCCTTATATTTTGAAGGGGTCCTGATATGTCCAAGTCTGATCTACCGGCGGGACCCACTGCACCCCCACCAACCTATGAGGATGCAGTCAACCTAGCCAGCAAACCTGACAGTGCAAGCGACACACCAATCGCAATGTAACCTATTCACGGCGGTGCTCAAGGGGCAGAGGAGGAGTGGTGCTTCAGCTAAAGGTCTTGGTCTGGGTTCGAATCCTGCCGCAGTCTCTCTGGGATGCGGTCAACAGAGGCCAAGTCATGGCTGCCAAGGGTTACACCACCCATCTGAAATGTCTGTAACCGGTACCCTGAGGCTTCCATAGCAAACGTGTTCATTCCCAGCCACGGGTCAAATGCTTGGGCTGCGGGCGAGAGATCGGCCAGCACATTGAGGCAGCTGCCCCTGCTCTTCCTGGTGAACTCTGACATCAGGTCAACTGATGAAAATCCCCTGAAACCCCCTGGAAGCATTGTGAGACCATCAGGACTCAGCCATTGATAGACTGGTCCGTGAGGCCCTGCCCCATTGTGATCTGTCTAAGGGTGGGTGGAGGGCAGGTCCCTGGTTCTGCTGCTAGTGTGCCCCCTGTCGGATTGGATGGATTATGCAACATCTGTGAGAGTTACAACCAACACATGGACCCACAGGTACCCACTGCTTCTTGAAATCTTTGCTGATTGGACTGCGGGATAAAAAGGTAAATTTGTCACGGCACCGTCAGGTATTCTCATCACAATCCAGGCGAGTGCTGTTAATGTTACAGGCCAGCGTTGGATACAATATCCCTTACTCAGGTAAATTAGGCACCCCTGTATTTGTGGACTTTATTCATCAGAAGTTTGAGAAAGTGACTCTAATCCGCTTTGCAATAGACATTGACACATTCATCCTTCTTGACCATAAATGAAGCTCTAAGGCCAGGAAAATGAATAGTGCTGAGGTCGTCCAGCATTGGACTCTATCGAACCACTAACAACGTCTTAGGTGTACTGGTTTTCTGGTGGGTTTGATAGATACATGCGTAGACTCGGTAATGTACATGTTGTTTGGAAAGTTCTTTGGTCATTTTATGACAAATCGGTGCATGTGTCATTAGTTTGATATTAGTGGGACCCAGGCTTATGAAGTCTAAAGACACTCGGTCAAAAGACATAATACCTTATCAAAAGTTTGACTTTTGCTTCATAAATCTCGACAGGTTTAATAGTTGACTTTTTGACTCCCGAACACCTTCCGTTAAAGTCCGTGTCACACCTTGATGAATTGTGTTGATTCAGATGAATGGTATCCATTCATTATGTGCATTAGATGTGGGAACATCCAGGGCGCCAGTGAACCATGATGCTGGGCCTAAAATAATTCAAACTATTCTTTTGAAAATATTTTCACATTACTGTTCGAGACCAAAGAACATTTATTTTTTTAGGTACACTATTTGTCAAAAATGCGAACATATGAATTATACAAGTGTTCATGTTTTGTTCTTGTACTCTCGTCACAAAGAAAGGTTTCAAATTTTTTCCGTGTTTTCAACATTCCGAAATATCAAAAAATACTATTCACTAAATTGTTTGAAAGAAACAATATATGCGGAGGGAACTTGACACTTCACTTCTTCATTTCCTTATTTATTTTTTGAATTTTGAAATGGCCTTTATAACACCCCATGCTTTTTCCCTGTTGGAGATAAGGTTCATTGCGAACATGACCTCAAGATTTCAGAATATGTTATTGTCTGAACACAGTCAACTACTAAAAAAGACGAGGTTTTTGGCAGCTCTAAAACTGAAAGCCAGGAAAATGATGTTATCTTTCTCACGGTTCACGTTCTGATGTGGAATTTTCACCAATCTGAAAATGTCAGCACAAGCAATCATAAAGTAAGACATTTAAAGTGGCCAAAATTTGATCAAAAGCTCTTTGGTCACATAAATCTTACGTGGCCAAAATGAACAAACTCAACCATGCACATAACAGGCTTCCCTTCCCAGCCCTAATTTCCTGCTGACTCCGCTCCTCCCCTGTATTGGCATACATGTATTTATCAATTTGTTTCTATTAATCTGTAAATAAATTCTATTTCTACTTTCAAAATGTTCAAAGTGTTTGCATATTTGTTTTCAAACTGTTATAACATAAACGTCTGCCTAAAATCTGCTACTCCATTTCGACTATTTGTCTGTATATGTACACACCTCTTAAAGTGTAGGAGAAATGAATTTCTCTTCGACACATTTTTGTCTCCATCTTTGTATTTTTCTTCAATGTATGAGAACTCTTACACACATTTGGTTAAATGCATTGAAAAATGTACACTTTTAAACATTCAAAATTATCCACTTTTAGCGGACCGCTGAGGGCGCTGTTGCAGTGAAGTCATCTAGGGAAGACATGGTTCAGTGCATAGGTATTTCTGTTCAAATTGTGAATCCAGAATTTACTAACTGAAAGCCTTTCTGAGAGAGGGATTGATGGTTTCTTATTGCTGTGCACATGAACAACAATGAAACAGCAAAAACGAGTCTAGGAAAATCTACAAAAATGCAGGACTTTTTGTGTACAAACCAACGTAGCATTGAGGCTTCTTCCTGAGATGACATCACGGTGTGCCCATGTGTATGGAAATCCCAGTGCATGCAAAAGAACCAAAAAGGCATTGAAAATAATACCCTTTGAAATAGTGAAACCAAAGTTGAAAAATATGGTTTACTGAGGCACGAAGATGCATTGCACAGGTTTGTAATAAAAGTCATTGCGATTGCATTGACACATCCAAGATCAGACCACACATGTCTCTCATGTATACAGTGCAAAAAGCAAGTTGAGCCGTAGTTTTCAGAGTTTTATGTACCTCAGATGAAATAAGCCTTGATTTAGATATTTCCAGAATTCATTACATGCCAAAAAGGGGCCTTAACATTTGGCCATTTTATTATTGAGGGAATCTTTATATACATGTACATAAATGTATGATTAATCGATTTGATCCTGTTTCCTTTTTATTTACATACAGTAGTATATATTTTAATGGTGTAAGTGATTTTTGTATCTATTAATTGTATAAACAAATAATTTATTGACAAGATTTTCTGACCATTTCCTTGACCTGTACATGTAGCATACATTTTGTCAAAAATTATAACTTCGTTTTCAAACTCATTTGTCTTAAAAGTAAACGTATGTTGTATCGATAACTTGTATTGTACATGTACTTTAATAAATTTCTTGCATATCCCTTATTGCGAAAATTTGAGAAAGATGCTTTGTTTACTTGATTTCATAGCCAGGTGTGATTTCAGATCCCAAATGGAAGATTGGCAGACATTGTTGAATGTGTTCTAGAATTAAAAATACAGAAATGCTAACTCTTTTCCAAGGTTGAAGCCAAAACAAGCAAATACCTGGGCTTAACTCGGCCATGGTGGAATCCTCCTAAACTCAACCACATAAGAGCACGGCAATAGCGCGGCATCATTTTCGCTAAACGTCGAACCACCGTGCAAACGGACGAAACGACGACAGCGCGGCATACCGTGTCAAACTTAAGGGCTTGATCAGTGAAATACTAAGTGCCCTTCACTCATTCTCCGTACTGAGTGTGACAGAACGTTGGGCAGTAACTTTAGTCTGTGTTTGAAGCCGTGGACACACTAATTCAGTTTGAACCAAACTATAATTTTTAGGGAAATTGATGAATTCTTTTGGTTTGTTAAGGTTACAGGATTTCGGAACGGGGCACAGAAATATTTCTGTACTCGTCTCAGAATTTTGATTTGTTTTCGCAGTCTTCTTAATTCAAATAGCGTGCTGATTGGATGTCAGTGCTCAAGAGCGTGGCCGATAAACGTCACCCAAATATCTCATTCTGGTTTCACGTCAATTCGGTTCTGCTTGCCAGTCCAGTGTGATCAGTTTGTTGACTTTGTTCACGTTGTTCTGTGGAGAGTTGACCAACCTGCACACACTCACCAAAGATTGAATACTCCGAGGTGTTTGCGTTGACAGGAATGTTTCTTTATTTGACAGCGATCAAGGAGAATCGGGAGATATCAGCTAGAAACGAAGACGAAACCGATTAGAAGCACAGATACTATAATGACGGTGGACAGGACGCCTCCGGCCGCCGGTTTGGCCACTGTCCTGGTCCGGGTTGGATTCACGGTGTTGGCCCAGCCGTTCACGATATAGCATCCCGGGCCCCCTTCCAGGGATGGGGCCCGTTGAGACGGTAAGTGGGTGGATAGGCCGGCCCAAAGAAGGTATACGAAGAGCTTGCTTAGGGCCAGTGAGGAGGCACCTCAGCTGGGGTTCCCTGGCAGTGTGAGATGGGTCAAAATAACCTGGCCCTTTTGAGCTAGGGTTCAAGTAATGCGAATCTGTTGTCTTTATCCATCGATTTTTCATCCCTTTTCAAACGATAATGATGTAACCCGTTTATTATGCGGGTGGGAGTCCCTGACTAGTGGAGCAGACCGCCAGACAGATGAAAAAGAGGTTTACAAAGTATCTTCTCCCAATATATCCCCCTTAAAATGAACTTCGACACTTCACTATTCATAAATACCCGGGACAGTTTTTCTATTCCTTTTGGCCGAAACGCGTCACGTGACTGTGTGTACCATTTTTGATAATATCCGCTGAGAAGTGATAATGCCCGCTGCCCAAATTACACGCTGGCACATGGATACGAGCATACCAGACATTTTAATCGGGTCTGATTGGTCAGGAGTCTTTGTGCACGTGATGTACACTCGCCAATCGAAGGGGGTTCTGTTTGACAACTTTCAAAAGGAATATACTATAAAACGGACGGGGGTGTTCGGGAAAATTAAGTAAGGTTTTAGAACAAAATCGTTGGAAATCCATCATATGTTGACTTCTTGTGACTCTTTGAGTATAGAGGTATCATGAGTATTCATGAATGGTATGGTATTTAACGTTTTGGTCAAGCACATATTTTTTTCCTTATTTTAACATGTACACTTGATGCCAATGGTACTGCATGCCAGCCGTGGGTGATGCCTGACCTAAGAGTTTTCATCATGAGTCGTCAGGGAACTTAATCTTGGGCCAGGGAACCAAACTAGGGCCAACCATGGCAAACTTGTCAATGAAGCCATAGTACGCAAAAAGGACTTCGTACCATGCTTCGTAAACGCGTACCGAATTAGCCACCGATAGAGGGCGCTATCGCACAGCCGATCATTCGAGAAAGTGTCATGCCTATCCAATTCCGTTCTGCTTCCAATTTTAATTCCTGCCTCGTGGTTTAATTTTCGCTGTGTCTGATTATCAGACTTGAGAGTGAGTATATTGAGTTTTCGACAGTTTTTGCTAGGAATACTTTACGGAGTAACTGCAGAATACCCTGCCACGCGAAAATAAAAATCCATGGCTACGTAACTTAATTTGTTAATTTCCCACATCTTGATGTGGGGAGACAGGTCTGTGACCACAGTGATTCCGTATTACTTTTGTCTCCCCTATGCCCATCTTGCTTGTGATGTATATTGAATTTTTGGCATGAATAAATAATAATAATAATAATAATAACTTGGTGTGAGACTGAGCATTGTGTCGAGTGGAGGTTGTTCAACTTCCGAGTTGTTCTTGCTGCGTCAAGGTACGTATTTTGTACAGTAATTTGAAGTCATTTTGGAGAACGAAGCACTCACTTGAATTATATACTACTCACTAAGGGAAGACTGAAAGTTTTCAAAGTCCAATGTGGGTCCTGGGGAGCGGATACAGAGATACAAAGTGGGCCTTGTTCCTGCAACGCAATTACCCCAGAACTGAGGGGTCCGACGTCCGCTCCTCTCCCACAAACCCCTCAGAAAAAGAGCCTTTTTTGCCATAGGCTATGCATGACGTTTAACAGGGCATAGACAGTGATTCTATTCGAGTTGTGTACCCATAGAAATGTTGCTTCACAGCTTCATTTCCCCAAGAATTTCATGTAAGATTTTTTTTTTATTCATTTATCATGGTTTATTAAATTTGAATCACAGTGGCCAAAGGCCAAAAACAATTCTATCAATTAAACTTTACTTTACAACATTACTTTAAAAAGTTGTTTAAAAATCCAGATATAAAAATAAGAATTTAAAAGCAAGAAGAAGAGAAAGAGATCCATACGGGGAGATCACCCTACACGCCAAACTCCAACAAAAGGAGGTGATTCAAAACAGCGCCACCAAAACATTATAAACCCCATGAGCCAACAGGGTAACCAAGTGAGGTTCTGAGTGCTCATGGAAATCTTTCCTGATAAAACTATTAGCCATAAAAACTACTGCATTAACTTGACTAACACAGATGCATAACTATCATAATGGTGACCCAGTATAATTCTCCAGGCACGCTTCTGGACCTTTGCAATGGCATTAATATGATGACTATACATGCTCAAAACAAAGGTATGTAAGATAGCTTACATACCTTTGTTTTGAGTGCCAAGAAAGAAAAGGGCCAAAACCATGCCGTTTTTCCCCCCAATAGGTGCAAATATTTCCTGATCAGTGTCTGAGAGTCACGCAGTTCACTTGATTCACATGTGTACTTGCGAAGAGCTACTAGGATTAAGGAATGGATCCTCAAGGTCTAAATGTCAGCTAGTTTGAAAAAGTGGGTTTAGTTTTCCTTATTATTGGAACAGGGTGTTAATGGTAATGAGCGCTGCTTGAGAAGACTGAGCGATGGTAATGAATCCTGCTTGAGTAGACCGAGCGATGGTAATGAGCACTGCTTGAGTAGACCGAGCGATGGTAATGAGCACTGCTTGAGTAGACTGAGCGATGGTAATGAGCGCTGCTTGAGTAGACTGAGCGATGGTAATGAGCACTGCTTGAGTAGACTGAGCGATGGTAATGAGCGCTGCTTGAGTAGACTGAGCGATTTTATACCCTCCCATGCACCTCAGTTTTTGTCTTTATTTATAGACAAACATGTTGGCATAGACCCATTTGTAAGACTGTGCAAGATGGAACCTCATGGTTCCAGGGATTGTGACATATACTTCTATTCTGAGTTTGTATTGTAAGAAGTACAAACATATACCTAGGTATTTCTGATTTAGGATTTACAGATTTGCAGTAGTTCCTTTATACCTGTGAGATGTAGGCATACATGTACAGTCATTATCAAGTTTTTGTTGTCATTTTTTGCAAATTTTTCTAGCTTGACGTGCAGTAAATACAGGTTTGCAGATTTGATGCACGTAGTTTTTCTGTTGATTCTTGGAAATGGTTCATTTTCATGAATTGTATTTCTTATGTTATTATTTCTTGAAGAGATTGACTGGTTTGCGCAACGCTGATGTACATGTACCATTTTCTTTTGCAGAGACCTCAAAATAAAGCTGCCTCATCAATTATCGGGATGCCCAGACACCATAGACACCATCATCACCATCATCATGGTGCTGCCCCTCACCGTGGCATTCACCACCATGGCATTGGTCACCACCATCACCACCACAACATCCACCATCATGCCCTTGTGTCAGCCACAGGCCAGGTGGTGGGTGGTGCGACTGCAGCAACAAGAGCTGGGAATTCTAGGGCATTGCCCATCTGCCTGGGCATTTGTGGCTTTTTAATTTTCTTCGGCGGTATGATGATGATGGCACTCGGCTTCGGTGTCTTGAGTGACTTCCGCGGCATGGGCATCATCGGTTGCCTCCTCATGTTTGTGGGAGTGGTCTTGATAATTGCCTACATCGTGTTCTGCCGGAGGTACCGCCGGCAGGTACAGGAAGCTTTCTTCAGTCAGCTGGCAGCTGGGGGGATGGCAGTGCAGTACAGCCAGCCGGGCGCACCGCCCATAGTACAGCCCCAGCAGCCAGGAGCACCCCCTATCATTCACCCACAGGGTTCCGGGGCAACTATCGTGTACGGACCAGGGGGACAGGTGGCCTACCAACCCCAGGCCCAGCCAGGCTTCCAGCCAGAACCTCAGCAGTATCCAGCAACAATTCCCTATCCACAGCCGTAAGTTGCTCTGTGGAACATTCATAGGTGACCCACTCAAAGCCCACCCTCCCAGCTAGTTACTGATGTTACTATGAGAAATTAATTAATTGGGAAATGTCTGTCCATGTGTTGGGACGATTGTAAAATTGGAACTCACTGAGCGTCCAGACACCGTTTAACCCCAAACGGTTTATCTCCTTTTGTCGAGATATCAAAGAACTTCCGTTCATTTACATAGAGCCTGTGCAAGTTGGTTTACATGCACACGTGGCCGGCCTGCGCTTGAAGCAAGTGTGGACTGGTTACTGATATATCTACAGGCCATATAAAGCACTGATTGTCACTCAGGTATCAGCATTTGTGTAGTGTTTGCAACAGGGTACTCTCTCTGGATTATCGTTGCGATGCAACAAATGACGGCTGCCCAAGGAAATGCTCATTAGCAGTCCACAGCCTTACAGACTTGGGTATCCTTGGGCAAATACAACAAAGACGTATCGCTTTTTCCCGAGTACATCAGCAGTTCTGGCAATTTATACTGGTATGGCGAGTGAAGAAAGCTCGTACGCGTCGGCATGCGGTTACATTATATACCTTGTTATTTACAACAAAAGCACGCCAAAAAAACCTGTTGCAAACTCCAGGTCACCGCGCTAGCTAAAACTGGATGCATTTTTGTTACAACCGTCTAGACACCGTACTAACTTTTAAAACCATTCGGTTTAGCTCTAATCTCTCCATCTGAGGTGGTTTAAAATTTTAAATCACGGTTTTTAACTCCGAGATAAAACTGATTCAGTGTAAACTTGGAAAGCGTCTAGACATCAGTTTAGCGCTAACGGTGTGTGAACGTAGCCATTGTAGCTATGGTTGCCATGAACGATTTATTTTACGGCAAGCAAGCTAGTGCGTCACCCTTGTGTTTTTGGTGGCAAGATGGCCACCGGTGACCTCAATGATCTACATGGGCTGGAGAAGGACATGGCGAGTCCAGATGTTTTTATGACATCCTCGATTTACTCTCAAACTGCCAAAGACAGCTACCACCAATCACCACTGGCAGCCCACCGTTACGGTGTACAATTTGACTTGGAATCATCCAAATCACCAAGCAGACAGTGCAGAGCTACAAGAGAAATACTGGATTTCTAGGCATTAGAGGGGAAATTTGGCATTAATGTATCCCACCAATTTCTGTGTGGAGTTGCTTTCTGGTGCATTCATGCTTTTCCATTAACTTCTCTTCATTTGCTTGCTATGTATACTTTTTTTCTTTCCTTATATTTTGAAGGGGTCCTGATATGTCCAAGTCTGATCTACCAGCGGGACCCACTGCACCCCCACCAACCTATGAGGATGCAGTCGACCCAGCTAGCAAACCTGACAGTGCAAGCGACACACCAGTTTGAGTTGCCACGTAACCTTTTCCACGGCGATGCACAGGGCGGAGGAGTGTCGATACAGGTAAAGGCCTTCCTCCTGGTTTGAATCCTGCCTCAGTGTCTCTAGGATGCGGTCAACAGAGGCCAAGTCATGGTTGCCACGGGTTACACCACCCATCTGGAATGCCTGTAACCGGTACCCTTAGGCTTCTATAGCAAACGTGTTCATTCCCAGCCAGTGTTCATTCCCTTTTGACCCATTTGTCCCTCATATACATGTATATTTCAGAGTGGACATAAGGTCCTACTCAGCCTGAGACATATCTTGAGGTTTGTCAGACGTTGTGAGCTATCGTCGTGGAATGGAAAAGATTCAAACCGTCCATAATAGTATGCCAATATCAGAAGGACGACTGTAAATAGATAACCAAGCCAGACTTTGCCCATCTCGGCCAAGAAAAAAGTAAGGAGTTGTTAGGCAAAGAGTCCGAGTGAGCCCATTTTGGTAGTGCAGTCATTTAGGACAAAAAATATTGAGTCTAGTACAGATGAAGGCACATGGAAAGACATGTATATTACCAAGCAGCAAAACTAAAACATTGCTTAAACATAAAGCATAAAGATACAGAATTAATCTTGGCGATGGCATTAAATATAAATCAAATGAGAATAAATTTCTTTTATTTATAGATTATGTGACAAGGTGTTACATATAGTCGGAGTGAAAAAAATCCTAAATGTTGAGTCTTGTAGGTACATGGGAAGACATGTCATGTACTAACAAATTGATTAAACGTAAAGTATAAGGATACAGAAATTAATCTAGGTGATAATATTTTTATAAATTGACAATGAATCTTTTTATTTATAGATTATGTGCCAAAGTGTAATATACGGTGGGAGTGGAACTCTTGGTATGAAGTAGGTGGATTAATAGTTTGATGACCTTTTGACCTATTTATCACTTCCATTAAAGTCAGTGTCACAAGTAGATGCATTTTGTCGATTCAGGCGCATGGTATCCATTCATTATGTACATAAGATGTGGGAACATCTGGGAACCAGTGAATCCCTTTCATATTCTGTCAAACAGTTTTTTCTAGAGAAATTCTGGTTTAACTGGAAATTTACAGGTTCTCAATCATGATGCAGTGCCTCAAATTATTCAAATCATTCTTTCAGAATATTTTCACAGTACTGTTCGAGACCAAACAAGCTTTTTTATGAAATATTGTTTTCTAGGTACACTATTTATCAAAAAATACAAAGTATATAAATTATACAGGTGTACATGTTTTATTAGATGAAATTTGTTTCTGAAATTTTTCAAAAAAGTGTTTTAAACATTCTGAAATTTTAATAAATAGCTATTCACTAAATTATTTGAAAGAAAGAATATATGGAGAGGGAACTCGACCCCTCATTCCCCAGTTGCTCTACAATGATTTTTCCAGTTTTAAAATGGCCTTTTTAACTCTCTGTGTTTTTTTTTTTACCTGTGGGAGTCGAGGTTCATTGCGAACATGACTTCAAGATATAAGGATATTTTATTATCCGAACACATGTTGTCGACTGCTAAAAAAAGACGAGGCATTTAGCAGCTCCACAACCTAAAACTAAAAGCCGGCAAAATTATAGTATCTTTCTCTCGCTTCCTTTTTCTGATGTGGATTTTTCACCAATATGAAAATTTCAGCACGAGCAATCACAATATCAATGGCATAAATTGGAAAAAATGCTCTTTTACAACATAAAATCTCTTGCCTGTTTTCACAGATCGCGCAAATCTTTATATGGTCGAAATGAACAAACTCAACCATGCGCATGACAGGCTTCCTTTCCCAGCCCTAATTTCCTGCTGGCTCCGCCCTCCCCTGTATTTGCATGATAGATACACATTTATTGTTATGTCTCTGTTTGACCTGTAAATAAATTCTACTTCTAAAGTGTTCGTAACTGTAACTGTGTTTGTAAGTGTTTTTTAACTGTTATAACATAAATATCTGCCTTAAAGCTGCTACTCCATTTCCACTGTTTTGTCTTCATACGCACACACCGCTTGATGGTGGCGATGGCATTGACATGTCCAAGATCGGACCATACATGTCTCTCATGTGTACAGTATGTGTAAAAGCAATCTGTAATTTTCTGCAGTTATTTGAACCTAAGATGAAAGAAGCCTGGACTTAGTACAGAGGTGTAGTTGCACGTTCTACGCAAACGCTGACGTCATTGCTTCGTGCGTATTGTCTCTCACGTACGGGTAGTTCGCAGGGACGTCCAATACATTGTATGTGAAACATGAAAAGTTCACGTTGGAACAAAACGTGAGAAACTACAACTTTTTTGGAAGGTTTAAAATTATGCCGTGAACATTCGCTGATATGAAATGGACATCTTTGGAAGATGGAAAGGTTATGCCATTGGGATTTTTCAAGCTTGGTTTATGATAACCGATTACACTTCTTTTGAGAGATTTACCGGATGTGATTGATCATTTGTCCTTTTATTCGAGTATTCGTTGGAAGATGCAGGACGCGCCTCTAAACTTTCAAACAGGCATTTGACGCCCGCGCACCCGAGCGCGATAACAAAAGTTGTCGCGTTCGCGTAATACGTGCATTTAAACCTCCCTAATGTGCTGCTGATGTACATGATACTGTGGTAATGTGACGTAAACTTATCAGTTACTTCATCAATCTAAAAAAAATAAAATTACCAAGTTCAAACGCATTAATCCAAACCAGTTACAAAAATGTTAAATTCAATTACATTATGCCTTGTTATATTTTAATCAGAACCTTGCAATAATGGGACTGGAACAAAACGAGGACTGCAGATTTGCTTTTGGTATAGAATTTCGTTATATGAGTGAGTGTGGTGTACATTGAGACCGGACTGAATTGGTGTGGCCTGGATATCAGGAGTGGGGGTGTTTGTTTTTCCTGGTCCAAAGCCTCAGAATTGTGGCAATCTCCTTCCCAGGTTTGTTGACAAATGGGTGCTGCATTTGGGTGGGTGCAACGATATGTGCAGCCATGTTGTACATGTGCACATGTACGGTGTATACTTTGGCATATCGATTTAGAGGTCATTTTGAATCCATCAATATCAAATGCCGTTTGTTTCACAACTCCGTGACTCTCTCCCGGTCCAGGAGCATAAATTCTCTTAGACGCTCAGTTTTTTAACTTAAGCATAAATTCTCTTAGACGCTCAGTTTTTTAACTTGCTGGAAACCCAGATTTTTCCTTGCCTTTAGTTATTTTTTCTTTCAATTTTATTTTATAGTATATATTTTGATGATGTAATTTTTTAAAATCTTTAATTGTAAAAGTGTTAATTTATTTACAAGATTTAATCGACCAGTTTCTTTAACTTTACATGTAGCATACATTTGTCAAAATTATAAATTCGGATTCAAAATCCTTTGTCTTAACAGTAAATGTATATTGCATCTATAGTGTAATTCGATTACCAGAATTAGAAGCCATTACTGCGATGGCACAACGCTCGTGGACAGGTGGTACGCGCGCGTTACATGCCTCTTCGACCAATAGGATGTCGTGAATGAATGCACGCGCGCGTCAAGCTGAAGAATGTGCGTGTGAATGTGGTGTCACCGCAGTTATGGCG